AAAGCCAAGATGCTACATGTGTTGTAGAACAAGAAATAGACTAAGATGACTGTATACATTTTTAATGGCACGGCCAAGCTATGAATGCAGGTAGAAAGTCATGCTGGCTCATTATCAGTTTCTTTGGGCAGAAATGATACCTTCTAGATTACAAAATCCATTTATTGACTTAAGCTTAATTTTATAGCTGTATCACAAAACTAGGCTGATCTGAGGGCAACAAAGCTCTCTGATATTGACAAATGTAAAATAAGCAGTTATAACTAAACTTTTGGAGAAAATGCCTTATTACTATCAACAAGTTTTTCTTATTGGTAAAAATAAAAAAGTAGTATGAGTAAAATATCCTTTTATGCTGAATTTTTGTGTAAAATTACCTGTAGGGATTGCTCTTTCATTGCTTTGCCTACTCCATAAAGAAATTATTCTAGAGTCCTTAAGTTTGTTTATTCTTTTTTAAAAAATGTAATTCTATTAATACAAAATCAGCCAGGTGCCTCCTGCTATAAATTTAGAAGCGGATAGGCAATCTGCTGACTCAGCTTAATCAATATCCCTTACTGTTAAAATTTGATTCAGGCTTGATTTAAGCTTTCACAGCTGCAGCCAATATTTCACTTATGCACAAAAATTTAATTATTTGAATAGTTACTTAGAATACCGGCTATGAAAAACTTAAATATATTTAGAACCCCCCTAAAACAGTATAGGATACATTTTGCACGTTTTATCAAGTAATCTTATGGTCTATTCTTACTAATCATGATATTATTGGCTAGGAAGGAAATCAGAATAACAGTCCAAAATATTTTACATAATTTATGAAAGAAAAAATATATAAACATCAACCTCCTCCCCCAAGTACATTGCAGCTGGATGCCTTGCATGTCAGTACAAAACTTCACTTTACAGGCCTTAACACTGCCCCACTCCTTTTCATTGGAACATGCAAAATGTCTGACCTTGAATCTTACATACATTAATGACATATCATAGAACTGATTTTTAACTCGTATTAAGTCACTAGACCTTTTCTAATTTATAGAAGTGCAAATGCTGTCTAGGACAGTCCAATAGAAATATCTGTGATGGGAATATTCTGTATCCACAGTTCTAATAGGGTAGTAGCCATTAGCCACATGTGGCTAATGAGTCTTTCAAACATGGCTAATGGGAACTAGAAACTGTCTTTACTTGTATCTAAATTTAATTAATTTAAAGGTAAATAGTGTCACATATTGGATTACTACTGGCCTAGTAGAGCTTTCAAACATTCAGATAAATGTTAGAAGTGGAAAGTAGATTTTTGCCAATCCATGAATTTTAATTATCGGCATTATATTTTTAAAACTCCATCATGGATTCCTTCAGTATGACTTTGTCTAGAAGGTTCACATTTCAAAAAAATGAAACACAAAGCAGTCACATTCTTTAGTCTGCTTTTCTGTATGAATATTTTTTTGCAAAGAGGTATAGGGCTGATTTTATTGCCAACTCTGCCCCCTCTCCTATGGACAGAATTCAGTGATTAGGTTCCTGCATTTATTTAGGTTATTTTTCCTAAAAATCATGGTTTCCATACTGCAAATAAATGACAAGAACTTTTCCATTAAATTACCCAGACAGCACAAGTGTTCTTTCCTAAAGTGGAGACTAGAACCATAGACCCCTCATGTTGCCTGTTACATCTGTTTATACTTACAGAAGTCACATCTACTTTGTAGGCAGAGAATGCCAATTTCTCAGGAAAGCACCCAGAATCTGGTGAGACTTGAAGGAAAAAATTTCACTGTTCAAAATAAAAGATACGTAGATTAGCTACAAAGCCCTTTTTCAAATTAAGTATGGGAGAAACGATTTTGCTCCCAGAGTGTAGATGTGGCGTATTTGATGGAGTTCCTAATCAGCCATAATCCCTTACTAGCGGATGAAGCTGTGGGTAAGTTACAAAACCTAACCTCAGTTTTCCTACCTGAAAAATACATACAGATAACAATTCTGTTGGGAAAACCTGTGTAAGACTTTGAAATGGGCAAAAGATTACTGGGTGTCCTTTCAATGGAATGCTGGATGGTATCTGCAGGAATGTGGGGATTGCGTGGTTTTTCAGTGGGCGTGCAACTTCAACTGCCTTTGGCGAGGCTATAATCCACAAACTTCAGAAATTTATGGTCATGTAAACAGTTCTTATCTATAGATAAGGCGAATTCTTTTGTTCCTTAGGAACAGTTGATTACTGCCTGTGGGACAGATCATTCGAAACCTTTTATTTAGTATCTTAGACCATATTAACCGGTTTTGCCTTTTCCCTGATTGTCCATAAAGGCCTGTTCCTCCCATTCTCATTTGAATGTGTTGCAATATTTTTTCTGGTTCCCTCCCGCATTAATGAGTCAAATAACATTTTTTGACATATCTTGATTTTCTATTTCTGTGAGTCATGCTTTTACTTGCTTGCAACATTATCTTTTAAGAACTTCTAGTGCATAAAGTTTTCCAGAAGGTTGGTTGAAAGGTCTATATTGGTGGTCATGATCAGTTTTATAGTTTGCAGGAAGGCTCTAACGCTTCCACTATTATTATTATTTTTGGGGGTGGGGGGTGGGGGGGTGATGTAGGAAGGAAGGGATACTGAGCTTTCATTATAAACGGGTGAAGACCTGAAAAACAATCTCCTGCCCAGTGTCACAAGACCTCCTCCTCCCTCTGCCTACCAGCGGAGGCTGAAGGTCAAGGTGGGCGTGGGCGGAGCGCGGTGGCCCAGGTGAGCCCCAGCACCTGGCTCCGGCCAGGCCAGGTGGAGGCCTCCAGCCAGCC